TAGTCTGGTCCCTCAGAGAGCAGTATTGCTTTCTCATTCAGGCCCCCCATCACATTAGGATACAAAACACCCTTCTGCTTTATTTCCTTTATGTCCTAGGGCATGAATTTAGGGCCTGGGCATCGTCCCTGAGCTGTTGTACTCAGAGCTGGTACTCTACCACTTTGGGCCACAGCTCCAGTTCTGGTTTTTCTGGTGACCCATTGGAAGTAAAGTCTCATGGACTTTCCTGCACAGGCTGACTTTGAACTGTGATCCTCATATCTCAGCCTCCCGTGTAGCTAGAATTATAGGCGTGAGCCTCCAGCTCATTCATCCTGGGTCATCTATCTGCTTCTTATGAATATGTGTTCCCCTGGACTTCATTCAATTCCAGGCAGTCCTTCTTCAGTTGTTTTCAAACATGCCTCCCTCCACCCTGCCCATTCCCAGCATCAAGAATGGTGCAGCCATTTTTTAGACTAGAGGACAGATCTGGTTTGGGGTATCCTTGAGCTGGGCCAGTGGATTGGGTTCTGTCCTTCTAGACTGTCATGTACACGACTGGCATCTTTGCTTCCTATTTATCCTGTACCCAAGTCTCTCTAATGGAGATGGAAGAGGAGAAGCAGGCCCTCTGTGTCTGCACAGAGAGGACTTTTGTGTACAAGTCTTTTGGAGAGGAACCATGCCAGTTTCTTAACTCAGCACAGAGAGCAAAGCCCACCTCTGCCCCAAGCTCATGTGTTCTTTGGTTTGGAGCTAGTCCATTCAACTCTCTGGTGTATCTTGGCTGCTAGGGGCCAAATATCCAGGATTTGTGGAAAGGACAGTTATGAGGACAAGTATTTAGAGGTGTTCAGAACAGAACAGAAACTGCGCAAGGAAAGATCATGGCTCTTATCTTGGGAAGAGTTGTTTTTGGATACCATTCAGTTTCCTTGTTCTCATTCTTTGCTCCCAAACAAACTATTGATATATAATTTGATCTCTCAAGCTGACTAATTCTGGAGCCAAAATACACTGCTATTGTCAGTGATGAATTGGTTTCCTGGTTTACCAATTAGTGTCTGGGGAGTATAATTAGCGTGACTAGATCTGATTGCCCCGCGGTGCTTGGATCTGAAAGGCTGACATGGGTTTGCTGCCATCCTCCAGGAGGCTTTTCATGAAGCAGCTGTCCCCGGCTCCCAACCACCGCTTCCTTCCCCCTCCCTGGACTTGCCCACTTGGCCACAGTAGCCTCTTGGAGAGGCAGGGAGTGGAGCTTCACCAACCTCATGTGCAAAATCACGTTGGGAGGATGAAGGCTGTCTGGGAAGGAGACCTGGGACCTGAGGATGGGAGCAGGAGGGCAGCGCTGGCAGCAGAGAGGGTCTGGACTCAGCCCCTCCCGTGTGCTACCCAGGGCCACGATTCAAAATAGCCTCCCTCCGCTCTTCTGTATGTCTTACAGGGATTGTTCAAGCAAGTCTGTACTTGTTCCAATGCCCTGGAGAGTTTTCCTTCTCTCCCCATTCCATTTGGGTATGTTTTCTTTTTTCTTTTTCCTTTTTTTTGGGGGGGGGTCTGGTCGTGGGGCCTGAACTCTGGGCCCGGGCGCTGTCCCTCAGCTCTTCAGCTCAAGGCTAGCGCTCTACCACTTGAGCCGCAGAGCCACTTCCGGCTTTTTTCTTTTTGCTTATGTGGTGCTGAGGAATCGAACCCAGGGTCTCAGGCATGCAAGGCAAGCGCTGTACCACTGAGCCACCTTCCCAGCCCCTTGGGTATGTTTTCTAAGTAGCAAGATAGCAGGCTGTCCTTTGGTAGAGGGAACTCAAGCCCAAGGCCCACCATCTGAATCGAAACATAGTCACAGATGGTCCGGAACATGAATCAGGAGCCAATGGGAAAAAAATACCAGGTTTTGCATTCACGCTGCCAGGGAAGCTGTTCTGTGCTCACGTCTAGCTGTGTGATTGCAGCGAGTTACTTAATGTCTCTGAGCCTCCGGGTCTCACTGCTCTCTGTAACTAGCTCTGCTCACCCTGGTCCTCCCTACCCATTGTCTGGTTTATTCTCTTCACAGTTCTTATCCCAATCCCAAGTGCTTCTCACTCCTTAGCTATTTCTTCTTGACTAGGCCGTCCAGTCTGGAAACACACCACATCAGAGGTGGTACCACACTGGCTTTATACTGCAGTCTCATCTGGGTGAACAAACCGAAGGTGAATGGCATGATGATCCTTGGCCTGGGACTGGCACTCGGGGATGTAGAACTCTCTAGAACCACTGTGCAGAGGCTTTGCTACTCCTCAAAACTCACAGGCAGTTCAGTCTGCTCGTTTCCTTGTGCGCCACCCCAAGCGTCCTGCCAGGCTCTGGAGGTGTGGCAGTGACCAAGTAGGCAGAACTTCCTGCCTTGTAGATTTTTGCCTTTTAGTGGGGGCAGACAGGCAAGAGAATCCAGAAGTAAAATGCAGGGACCAGGTGGGGAGAGAGAGAGGCTAGAGAGCACTGGAGTCAGGGTCAGGAAAGGAGTCACGAGGGAGATGACACGTTAGAGAAAACCCGGAAGAGGCTAGGAACACAATCCTGCAGCTATCTGGGGAAAGAGTCCTCCAAAGAGAGAGCTGGACTATCTAGTGTGAAGAAGGGAAGGGGCTGTGGGGTCTGGTTGTGCAGGGCCCTTCAGTACTGGTGGCAGTCTTCAGCCTTCCTTCAGGAACGATGGAAGGGGTACAATCAGATTTCACTAGGGGCTGCTTGTTACTGGGAGAAGCTGTGGTTGCATTGCATCTTGGCGAGCGCTAAGCTCACCCATCCTTCAGGGAGGAGGAGTCAGGTCCGAGTTGACTGCCGTCCTGCACATCATGGCAGGTCTCACATCACCTCTCCTCTCGGCGCCTCAGTGTCCCCAGCCAGAGACCCTGGGAAGCCAGGGCCAGCTGCTCTCAGTTGCCGACTTCAACAGCCTGTGGGGACCCGCTCCATCTGGGGTACTGCAATGGTGCAGGGTCAGCCAGGGACGATGACCCTTAGCTGCCTTCTAAACCTAACAGGGGTGAAATCCAGCGAGGACTTTATGGGGTGGTTGGAGGACACCGCTGAGGGCCATGATAGATACCACAAGAGACACTCACGGTGTAAACCACGGCCATCAGTGATAGCAGGCTACAGGAGGGCAAACTCAGACTCGGGGGGAGTATCAACCTGACATCCAGTGAGAGGTCATTGGGATCCAGCCACTAAACGCCCCAAGATGGCACGGCCCTTCCCACAGATGCTCCTGGAGCGGCTTCACGCTCCTGGCTCCATGGCCTTCACCTGTCCGGTCCCATGTTCCTGGGCTCAAAATCAGAACCCTCTGGGAGGTGGGAGGGGCTCTGGTCATCTCCAGCGTCCCGTGGTCTCTTGTCCAGATGGATGGCAATCCGGCACAACCTCCAGACAGAGGCCGGCCCGGGCCTGGCCTGACCGGACCTGTGAAGAGAGGGGCTTCTCCACTCTGCTCGTGGCCGTCTACGAGAAATGACCAAGTCCTCGCTGCCTCGGGCCGTTAATGCTGATTCCTATAAGAGGAGGGCGTCCAGTGGTGAGGCTGGGAAAATTATCTAGAGTGCTCAAGCCCCCTCTCCTGCACTACCTTGCTGGCAGTGGGGACCTCTGTGCTCCGGCTGAGCTGTCCTGGCTTTGGGGCCAAGTGACACTGCATTCAGTCCAGTGTCACCACGCCGGCGCCTGGCTCTGGCCCCTGACAAGGATCAAAAGTCTGTTGGAAGAGAAACAGAATCGGTTTGCTTTTGTGGTACGCACTCTGCAGAGGAGGCCGCGGTTTCCCATCTCTGAGAATGACATACATCTAATCTACATGTGGATCTGACATACAAGGTGGTGAACCTCACTCACCCCACAGCTTATTACAGATGTGTGGGCTACACACAGCTGTAATCCTGTGTACCCTTACTTGATGCTCAGTGAGATCCAAAGCCAGGGTCTGCTGCAGTGTCCATCTGGAATGAAGCACAAAGACCGTGAGTGAACAGTGCATGGTGTCGGAGCCCAGGTGTGAGGGATGGCTGGGCTCACTGTCTCAGGGCTGAGGGATAGCTGGGCTCACTGTCTCTGCTAAGAGGCAGGGTTCTGCTCCCAGCTCACGCAGTGGAAGTGACACTGCTAATCTGTTCCTCCCCCACCCCCCTCCAACCATGGAGCGTGACATGATACAGACAGATGACAGACAACCATCTCCATATTGTGTGAGGGATTATCTGCATCTGGAAACAATCTCAAAGAGTGAGATGGTATTTGTATTACAAAGCCAGAGACAGACAGACAGAGAGAGAGCCAGAGAAAGGGGAGGGATGGTGTGTAAGGTAGGCAGAGGATAGGGTGTCATACAATGTGACGTCAAGGGCAAGCAGGCAAAGCCACATGAGATGGTGGAGGTAGTTCTGTGTGCGGTCATGTGTTTCTCAGCTCTTGGATTAGTGTGAAATGCAGAACAAGGTGGTCCACCTCTTGGAAGCCAGTAGAGGCCCATGGTCTTTGTGGAATCGTCCCTCATGCCCTCTACTGTGGTTAGTAATGCCATTCTCATTCTTTGGTGGTTAGCTAAGGCCCTCCAGAGCCAATTAGAGAAGGCCCTGCCAGGATAAATCGTCCCAAAGAGATGCTCTCTCCCGTGGCACTGGCCTCCTATTTGCCCAGTAGCCCACATCCTGCTTTCCACAGGACAATTCAAACTCTCCAAAAGTAAAATCAAGTCCATTCTCAGGGAGCCCTTGGGAGCCTTCTAGGTTCACCTAGAAGGAAGTTGGAAATTATATCTCTAATGTCTCTGCATTGGGCAATAGCCAGATGTCTCATACGACAATCAATCAAACACACCCCAATTGTTCTCACAGATTAACGATATCCCTACTTCCTTCATATTGATTTATGGCAGCAATAGAAATATACCACTGGAGGACACGCCTCCTTTCAGCTAGATGTGTATAAATGGTGAGGAATCTCCATTCCAAGGGAGAGGAACCAGCAACATGGGGATCTCCACGGTCATCCTCGCAACATGTCTTTTATGGGGTCAAGTTCTCTCTGCAGGTATTATGTCTAATTATTCTGATCATTCCCTAGACCAGTCAAACCCAGTTCTGGCAGGTCAGATCATCTTGTTTCTTGGCATTTGCCTGTTTCTCTGGTACTGAGTTTTGTTCAAGGACTTTCTTGTTGATCGTTGTAAGTACTTGCTGGTGTTTAGAAAGAAGGCATCTTTTTGTTTTGTTTTGGTTTGGTTTCTGGCTATCCTAAGAACAAGCTAATCATCACCTCAGTGATTTCAGTGAAAGAAATGACTGATTGGGATTAGAAAAGCTCGTAGGGTTCAGGAAAGGCGTAGATGTAAGACGAAGAGGCCTCAGAGTTTAGCAGAATGGGCTCAGCACAAGATTGGATTGTATGCTACAAAAATAAGGAATGATTCCCATTCGAATTCCAATTTAGGACTCTTGGTAAGAAACAGGAAAAAGTGCTCCTGCCATGCCTTCCCTCTGCAGGTGTGTCTGACTCCACAAGCAATATTTGCTGAGCACAATTGGGTCAAGTAACGGACAGAGACAGGAATGTGTTTCCATTCCAAGTCTAAGCCGTCCACTCACTGCTCAGACAAGCGACTGGCAGCTCAGTCGCTCTAGCATGGCTTTGTATTCTCAGCATCAGATGATAAACACTGCAAGAGCCACTGGCAGATCTCTGTGACTGGCCAATCTCAGTGTCTGTCTCCCCTTCTCTCGTCTCAGTCTGTCTTTTCTCTCTCTCTCTCTGTCGCTCTTTATCTCTTCCTCTGAATTCCTCCCACTGTCTCTGCCCACCTGTCCTCCTGTCTTCCTCTCTATCTCTATCTCTGTCTCTCTCCCTTCATGCCTGTTTGTCTGTCTCTCCTTGAATCTTTCTCTTTGCCTCCTCATGTCTCTTTCCACCTCTCTGGTCTCTGTTTTAGCTTTCTCTCTGTGTGTCAGAAAGCGAGATCTTTGTCTCTGTCTCTCTATCTCAGCCTTTCTCTGCTCTCTCTCATCTAGCACCGATCATCTTCCTTCCCTCTCCCTCTTCTGTTCTTCTTTCTTTACCTCCTTCCTCCCCCCACCCATCTTTCTTTCTTCTCTCTCATTCCTCCTTTCAGCCCCCCCCCCCGCAACTTGGCATCACTTTTTTTGTGTCGATTCATGAATTCCAGGAGGGAAAGGTAAAAATGGTCAAATTTCCACAGCACTTCCAGAACTATCCCTCTCCTGGGGGGGGGTGCTCTGAAGTTTAGGTGCACTTGGGAGATGGCTTTTGGGAAAGCAGCATCTCCGAGCAAGGCCTCTGGTCCACCGCTGCAGGGAGTGTTCTCAGGCAGGCTGGGAGAGGCCTGGACCTCAGGGTTCTGCTAGGGGCAGTGTGGGGGATGGGCAGGTCCTGGGGCGTGTGTAAAAGAGGTAGCAGGGCCCTAGTTCCAACTTTCTCGCGGGGACAGCCTTGCTCTGGCTCAGTGACAGTGCCCTGGGGTCCTGTCAGCTCTGGAGGGTGGGGAGCAGACTGCCTGGTCCTTGTCCACACAGGGACAAAGGCAGCAGGGCCCTGGGACTGGGAGGATTTGTCATTTTCCCCAGGTGCTGTTTACGTGCAGCTGCTCCAGCCAGCAGCTCACCCGTGTGCCGGTGGCAGTTCGCTTCACTTCTCTTCTCAGGCAGCTCGGCCAATAACCACAAAGTTTGGCGCCATCCTTCCTTGTTGTAGATGGGGACACCAGGGCTGGGCGGATCTGTGACTTGCTCCAGGATAGCAGCTCCTGGGCGGCTAGGGCCCGATGTGAACTCAGAATGAAGCCCCCTGGCTTTGGGCAGCAGTGATGGCCAGCCAGTCCTCCCCTCTGCTGGCAGGGGCAGAGTATGAGTGGGGGTGGGGGTGGGGCGGTGAGGGGGTGGAATTGCAGCCAGCTCAGCACCGGAGAGCTTCTTAGCAGTTTGTGTACCCAGGCCTCGCAGGGCAACAGAGATAGGGGCGCCCACTTCTGTCCTAAGCATTTGTCCTTGTCTCTGCCACTGGCCAGCTGTTGGGGGAGGGGCACTGTAAGCCTCAGTTTACTCATTTGTAAGGGGGTTATGTTTCCTGCGCCACAGAGGGTCGTGAAGGAGTAAGGTCACCCAGGTCGGGTCTGGCTCATAACAGGAGCCTTGGAAAGGCCAGAGTTCCTATTCTAGGCATTTCCCTAATGTTTTATCCACATGTGACTTCCTACATGCACTGTGGCTCTTGCACTGGCTTCTGGAAAAGGAGACACTGGAAAACTCTAAATAAAGCTGATAGTTTAGTGGACAGGCCTAGGCTGCGGCCGGCTTGTCAGCTGTGAGGATGACTTCAGTGGTGAGAATGTAAGAGGTCGCTAGTAGGGAGGCTGGGTTGGGGTGTGTGCGAACTCTCTGTAGCATCATTGCTCTTCTTTAAATCCAAAATTGGCCCCCATTCCCCCCCCCCAACTTTCCTTCTGTGGGTCTCATTTCTTCAAGGCCAGTGTTTTGCAAACTGAGCAAGTAGTCATTCCTTCTGAACTCATTCCAGGCACACTGCTCAGCCTCATTCTTAGTCCTCCTGCAATTTAACTAGCCATGCCTGGAAGGAGAATATTGAATGCAGGGGCTTTCAGCATTGTTCAGATATTTGAGCGTGGTGGGGGACCTCTGAGTCACTTTGATAGCAGACCATGCTGGTGATTAATTATCCTTCAGGACAGCCCTCCCTTCTTTTTTTAAACTTTTTTCTTTTCTTTTCCACTTCTGGGGCTTGAACTCAGGATTGGGCACTGTCCCTGAGCTGCTTTTGCTCAAGGCTAGCACTCTACCACTTGAGCCACAGTGCCACTTCCAGCTTTTTCTGAGGAATCGAACCCAGGGCTTCATGCATGCTAGGCAAGCACTCTACCACTAAGCTACCTTCCCAGCCCAGCCCTCCTTTCTTGATCTGGTTTTAACGGAACGATCACATGCTGGGCAGTGCAGGTCTCATCTTCTGTAGCTGCTGAATGCTGTGGAATGCAGAGAAAGCCTGAGGCTTCACCAAGTCTCAGCTGCAGCCTGGTGGGGGCTCCCCGGCCCCCACCCCCATTTGCTACAGTCCCCCACATGCCCCTTTGCTGGTATTTTCTTCTACGTCCTGTTTCTGTTTTGTTTCATTTTGCTTCCTTTTCTTTTGAGGCAGGGTCTTAATTTGTAGCTCCAAGTTGGGCTTCTCTGCCTCAGCCTACTGAGTGGCAGAATTACATGCATGCACCACCACACATACTCTTACACTCAGATGCACACATGGACACACAGAAAACACAAAACGATGGATATATAAACAATCCTGTGCAGAGAGACATACCCATACCCACAAGCAAAGACACACTTGGCAACATGCAGAGACATATATAGTATCACATATAAATGCATGTATCACACACGTACAAATATGCAAAGAGATACACTTTAGGTACACTGCATACTTAAACCCAAACTCTGAGGTACACACACAGACACAGACAGACACACACACTCACACTCACACACACCGCGGCTGCCTTGTTCTCTCACGGCATCTTCGCCAGCATCTGTCTGTGTAGCGTGCTATCTATGGGGCTATGCTGAGGCACAGGTATCATCCTTATTCGGTACTCAGCTCAGCACTATCAAGAACTTAGTAGAGTACCTAGTCTGAACGTTCCTGTGCAGACCTGGTATGGCAGGGAGGACAGAGGTGCAGGTGTGTGCTGGTGAACCCCAATATCTTGCCTTCCACCAGATCCTCAGCAGAATGACAGCGCACACATCTTCACTGTCACTGAGAACAGTTGTCCCCCGTGTCCCCAGGGGTTGGTCTTACAATCCCGGAGATGCCCAAACCCTCAGATACTCAAGTCTCCCATGTAAAATGGCATACAGCCTGCACATCTCCTCCTGTAGACTGTAAATCCTCTCCTCATTCCTCCTTCCAATTCCTAACCCAGTGTCCATGCTGTGCAAATCACTGGGCAGGGAAATAGTGGCAAGAGAAGAAACCTTTGCCTGCTTAGTACATCTGCAGCCTCTTTCCCCACAACTTTCCATCTGCTGAACTTGTGAGGGTGGAACTCCCAGACACAGCTGGCATCTTCAACTGAGTGTTTGTACTCTTTCGTTGGATTCCCATGGAAGGCACTGGAATTAGAGAAGGACACTGGCGTGGCTCTTCAGGAAGCCACACAGCAGAGGTGAACACCCCCTGTCCCGGGGGTCAGGCAACACGACCTCAGGACTGGCTGAGGATCACACATCCTTGCTTGTTTCTGTGTCAGAATCAGGTGTGTTCCTTCACAGGATTTTTTGTCAGGACACATGTCTGATTTTTCTTTTCTTCCATTACAGGTACAGATTCAGATTTCCTAACTGGTAAGTACTTTGAAAAGAATCAGTTTAGTTTATAACAGATTTTTTTTTCACCTGATGCAGTTATTTCCTTCTTGAGAATAAATCCAGATGTTGTGATGAAACCCATTAAAAATCCTCCAGACAGTAAATGTCGCCTCACTAAGCCTTAGTAACTGACACGAGGCTAGCATAAAGGTGTGATGCGTGTCCTTTCTAGAAACACAAAGTCGACAGAAACTTCCTCTGGCGATAGCATGGACGGATCATTTGGCAACAGAGTCACGTTCTTCAGTTTTGTCCTGCCTCACCTCCATATTCAGTACAGAGTAAAATCAAGTACATCAGTCAAATGAAGGGCTGGGGATTCACCTCCCTCTCTGGGGAGAGGCTAACACAGAGATGGAGGCGGGCTGAGGAGTCTACAATTTTGTTAACCACACACGAGGACACACTGGGAACTGCCCTCCCCGCCTCCTCCCACCCCCTACCCCCCTCTCCCGGCCTGGGACAGTACCCAGTGAGAACTTACATTCTCAGTGTAGTCATAGGAGCACTGTTTTGCTAACAAGAGCTATGTGTACACAATTGTTTTTCTTTTTTTAAACTCAGGGCCTTGTACTCGATAGACAGGTGCTCTATTGCTTAAGCCTCACCCCCAGCCCTGTGTAGATAGTTTGAGCACTATGTATTTTTTTTGTGTGCTATATCTAAAATGATTGAACACTTGTCTCTAACCTCCTTGCTTTATTTAACTTTGTCACCACAACCACTTACTTTTAGTAAAAATGTTGGTGGTGCTCACATCCAAGGTTGAATCACAGCGCTCCCTGGCGGCATTGCAGGGAAGCTGGAGGGAACTTTGGTGATGATCGATGGTTGCTAAGGAGTGGGACCACTTTCCCAGAATCTGGGTGTAGAGCTTGGGGATGGGACTGTCAGAGCAGAGCCAGAGCTGGAGAGGTAGCTCTGGGGCCTGCTGTCGACAGGGTCCTCAGAGGGCATGAAGTTCTCTGGGGGAGTTGTAGGAAAGCAAGAAGAGGGGGAAGAGAGCTGTCTTTAAAATCCCAAGGGGAAGAATTGGAGATGGACGCAGCCTAGGGAGGAAGGAGAAAGAGGGGTGCTAGGTAGCATCACCACTGGCCAGGAAGCCACAGGGCAGAGGGTGCCGAGACCAAGGCCTTCCGCTGTGTCAATGCAGGTTTGCCACTGAGGCTGGTGGATGGCGGTGACCGGTGTCAGGGCCGGGTGGAGGTCCTGTACCAAGGCCACTGGGGCACCGTGTGTGATGACGGCTGGGACATCCAGGATGCAGAGGTTGCCTGTCGGCAGCTGGGCTGCGGCCGGGCCATGTCGGCCCTGGGTGGGGCTCACTTTGGTCAGGGCTCGGGAAATATCCTCCTGGGTGCTGTGTACTGCTCGGGATGGGAGCCCTACCTGTCAAGCTGCCGCCACGATGGCTGGTACAACCATGAATGTGGCCACAGGGAGGACGCCGGAGTCATTTGCTCAGGTAGCGTGGCTGTGGCCTCTCACACTTGCATGCGCACTCCAACGCAATACCGCATGTGTATGTGAGCACACGCGTACACGCACACTGCACTGTTCACTTGCTCTGCTGTGAGTCTCGCTTTAGCTGCTGTTATACAACAAGGGCTGTTGCTTTGCACGGATAAAGACACTGAGGCTCAGAGAGGTCTAGGGACCGCCCATGGTCCAAAGCCTAGGTTCCCCTCAGAGTTTGCAGATGCCGTCACTCAATGGGCTGGCTCTGATGAGTGGTGTCGCGAGCATCCTTGGCATTAGCCACAGCCTCTCCTTCTGCAAAGGTGGGAGAGGACGGGGAAACTGCTGGTCCTCACTGCTTTTAATGTGCACCAGATTATAATGGAAGAGTGGCTAATATGTGCTCTCTTGGGGAATTAAAAGGTAAGTGAATGATGCTAAACACATCGGGTAAAAGAGGAAGTCTCCCTCATGCAACTCAATGACCCCCAAGGCTGCCTTTCTCATCTGTTCACATGGTGCTACATTCAACCTTCAAGGCGTCCTTCAATCCACAAAGAGCCCTCCCAGGATGCCAGTCCATCATGTGTCCTCCAGAAAGGAGTTTCTATTTAAACTGGTCCCTGATGCCCACCCTGTGGCCTGGACTATGTGCCTACCACCGCACAAGGGCGTGACCATGACAGGCCAGCCTCCCCTAGGAATGCATGACCCAAAGGCTCACAGAATTCTGTGCAGCCACTTTGTGCATGTGCTTATTTTAGCATTCCAGAATGCATTTCTAGAAATGACCTTTCTTTTCTGATTAGGGTCATTTTCCTTGGGATATCTCAATGATGGCAACTATTTGTCATGTGAGAGTGTCTGTCAGCTATGGAAATTGCCAGATGTCATTTGGAGACCCGTCTCATGACTAGGATGAGGTGATTTTGTTTTTAGATGGAGATTAGACACAGAGGAGGTAGAAGCAGCAGACAGGAGCAGAATAAATACACTTTTGAAGGCATCTTACAGGCAAAGTGACAGAAGGATCAGTGGTTTTTCATAAGGGGGAAAAATCAGCATTTTAGCAATCATAGCCTTCAGGGAGTGTGTTCCCACCCTTTGCTTCTGAGCTAGGGGAAACGGGGAACTACCGCTGTGCCAGTGAGAGATAACATCCAATGACCTCTTCTTTCTTTTCCACTCTGCAGAAGTGCTCAGTGAGGGACACACGCCAACACCAGAAGGTAAAGATCATTGTGTGGGATCCCTGTAGTCTCTCTGCCCACATCGTGCACCCATGGGCTCATCACTATCCAAAGCAGGGGCAGAGGGCCTAGGAGGAGGTCTGCTCGGCTCCCCAAGAGGCCTCAGGCCTGAACAAACATCTCTTCCATGGATCATTTCTCCCAGACAGAGAGGAATCAATAGGATGAGGCATCTCCAAGGAGCTCCAAAGTAGAGTCTGGGATCCTATTTCCCCTGTCCAATGTTCATGCATCCACTCAGACTGCTGGGCAGCCTGTCATGCTGGTCGGAGAGACAGGCACAGACCTGCTTCGGTGGCATCCTTGGCCGTGCCCTTCCTGTGAGCCCATAGTAAGCCACCCTGGAACTGGTGACCCTCCTGCCAGGGTCATCCTGTACTTTCTGGCCGGGCACCTCCAGAAAAAGATATGAGGCACAGTCAATAAAGCTTGAGGTGCTCACAGCCTGGGCTTGGAGAAGGGAACTCACGTCTCCTTTCCCATGGGAACTTTAGGCCTTAGGACAAAAATCAAGGGCATTCTCCACACTAAGGCTGATGGCCTTCCTAGGAGTCAGCATGGGTCAGCCGGGCGAGGTGTCCCTGACCACCTTCTCTTTCTCTTCTCTATAGTTCAGGACACAGAGCTGAGGTTGAGACTGGTTTTATTCTAAATTGCTGTTTGGTAGCAGAAACAGTAGCAGATCAGACCAACTCTGATGCAATTGGCTAAAACCAGGACAAGAATGAGGGGTGGACGGGCTTGGATGATCTGTTTGGGACATAGGCCACAGAGTGGGCTTTCTTAGAACTGCTTCTATTAGGGTCTCCAGTGCAGGGAGAAGTCCTGTGAGATTTTCCAGCTTTCCTGACTCAGACATGAAGCTGAGTGCCCTGATTACAGTGGATGAAGTATAGTGGAAAAACCTCCAGGATGGGTGGGGTCAGTTCCCCCTCTCATTCTCCATGGGATTCTTGTATGTGTTGTATGTGTGGTATGTGTGTGGTGTGTGGTATGGTATGGTATGGTGGTGGTGGTGGTGGTGGTGGTGGTGGTGGTGGTGGTGGTGGTGTGTGTGTGTGTGTGTGTGTGTGTGTGTCCCATGTCTGAAGAGCAAGGAGCTTGGGCCAGGGCAAAGGCAGTGCTGATACTTAACCTTGCTTAAATCCGCTGGGTGCCTGAACCTTGATTGCCATGAGAAGTTAACCTCATCAGCACAGCCTGGCTGACCAGCAGTGACAAAGCCTGTCTCTCCGTACTGTGACCTTAATGCAGACACCACAGGAGCATGTGGAAGCCACCTAATGGCTTGGGGGATGGGAGTTGAGGAGAGGGTGGTGGTGAGAAATAGGAGCTTTTATTTACAGTTAGCATTTTTGTGTCTGGACCCAAAAAAGGGAATGCTCATATGAGTTTCCAGCCTCTCCTGGGGACTCCTCTCCTGCCAGGGGTCCCCTCACACCGTCCCTGCCGGGCTGACTCAGCTCATGACACCTGTTACTCTTCTCCTTCATGGAGGTGCAGGTGTATGCCCTTGTGCAGATACATCCGCACGGGTGTGCAGTGTACTCCTGTGTACTAGGGTTGGGGTGGCTCTGTTTTTCTGGCCCCCCCTTTGTAGCATACTTATTCTACAGGGCAGGTCTGTATCCAGGAGAGGCCCGGGCAGGAAGGAGGTGATGGAAGTTTCTGGTGCATTCCTCACCACAGAGCCTCACGCTGCCCTCGTCGGCTTGCTGTCTGGTGCCTCTCACCCTTCCTACCCAAGCGGTAGTGTGAGGGCAACCATAGCCATAAGGACACAGAAGTCATTGGGCATGATGGAGGGCAGCGGTTTTCTAGCTGAGTGAAAATGTCACAAATTCAGAGAGATGGAAGTGGCACTCTGATTGACAGCAGGGCCTTTGTCACATGAATGAGTTCAGAACTAGGAGCCTGGGGCAGACACACAGGGAGCAAGAGAGATTTCAGGAGCTGATTACTGTCATCAGATCTTCCTGGTAAGAGAACCTTTTCCAAGTCTAGTTTTAGCCTTTCTCCTTGTCTGTCAAGGAGTGGGAGGCAGACCATTGCCACACCTGCATAAGGATGTAAACAACCTTCCCGCCTGGGCTTGGGGTCACTTTCCAGAGGGTGGGATGAGGCTGAAATCATCTCCTACCTTATCGCATCCCTGTCGGTTGGTTTGGTGGAAATTGGAGTCTCAGAGGGCTGAGTCTCCTGTCTGGTGTTGAGGGAGGGATGGGCTCCTGTTTGAGAAGCTCTTCTACCTTCTCAATACAAGATGTGGAGGCATCAACCATGCTGCTGGGACTTTGGAGTGGGATGATTTTTAAGACCTCAGACATCTTGACTGGGTTAAGAGTAAAGAACTACAGTATATTCAAAGGGGCAAAATACAGGCGCAACAAAGAAGGCCATGCGGCCTGGTCCAGGTTTCTATGAGAATCAGCAAGCAAGACCTACCTCTTCTCTTCTTTTTCTTCTCCCATAGGCACAACAGTTCCTGATGAAACATTTATAACAGGTACTTCCCCCCCCCCCCCACCTCCCTTCTGTCTCTTCAGGTCACAAAAATCCTTGGGCTGTAGGGTGAGGGTTGAGTTCTCTCAGAAGAAACTTTAGAGTCAGAAGCCTCAGAGTAAGATAATCTTCCACAAAGGTCTCCAGGCCTGTGGGAGTGAGACCTGTATTGTTTCAGGGTGCCCTGCTCTGAGTCTCATCTCCAGCTCTTATGGTCCCTGGGAAGGGGTCCCTGGGGGTCTTGATTGCAAGGTAGAGGCAGGGCAGGGATATTTTTTTTGCCATCCAGGGTGATCAACCTGGGTCATGGCAAATCAAACAACCTCAGTGACTAAAGCCTGGTGTGTGGTGGGCATCCCAACGTGGTACTGGGGTGAGGATAAGGGTAAGGGGCTACAGGCCCTGGGGAAGGAACACACAATGCATACTGTTGTATGGACTTTAAACTGCAGGAGGACTGGTCTTGGCTATATACCAGCTATGCAAGTTAGGCCCAGAAAACAGCTTTTGATGATAAATGTCCTTTCTGCGCCCTGTCTATAACCAGGTTCCAGTTTGGCACTGAGGCTGGTGAACGGAGGAGGCCGGTGTCAGGGCCGCGTGGAGATCCTGTACCAGGGGTCCTGGGGCACCGTGTGTGATGACAGCTGGGACACCAATGATGCCAACGTGGTCTGCAGGCAGCTGGGCTGTGGCTATGCCCTGTCGGCTCCGGGGAATGCCCGGTTTGGTCAGGGCTCAGGACCCATTGTCTTGGATGATGTGGCCTGCTCAGGGCACGAGTCGTACCTGTGGAATTGTAACCACCGGGGCTGGCTCTCCCATAACTGTGGACACCAGGAAGATGCTGGAGTCGTCTGCTCAGGTGGGTCCCCAAACCTACCAGGTCCCTCTCATCAAGAGTGGATTTTCATCAAGTGGATTAAGTTCTAAGACTAGAACTTAATCTCATGCCACTCATATCTACTCCCCATTTTGGATCATGAATATTCAGAGAAAATACCACTTTCACTCAGAGCTTTGACTCCATCTCTCATAGTTACCCAGTGGCTCGAGAGTTTACCCTCGAGGTACAATTCGGGGCTGCGTAGCCATGGTGTTTCGACACATGTTGGCTTCTGCAAACAGTACCTGTGTTGTCTTGGAGGTCATTGAACACCATGGGAAAGGCCCCAGTCCAGTATCCTGAGGGCAGAAGCAATAAGCCGTGGTTATAGCTGAGTAACAACCAGCTGTCTCCCGTCCCAGAGAGTCCTGACACCCTGTCCTAGGGGATGTGGTTGATAAAGCCTCCCCTGTCCAGGCTGCAGTCCTTTATGGGAAAAGTTCAGAGGTCTCAGGGGATCGTTGTGCTGGAGGTGAGGTGCAGTGATGGCAGGCAGCAAGGAGGGTGCTGGCGAGTGAAGGCAGACAGGGCTGGAACATGGCTGCAGACTCCATGTCAGGCCCCAGATTCGTTTCAACTCAAGGATGCATCAGTGGGTCTGTAATGCCTCATTGCTGAAAATGGATTTTGCATGGCCATGCAGAGGCTGTGGTGGGCTCTCCAAGGGTGGCTGTGTCATTCCTGCTTTTGGAGAGTGACCTTCAAGCACACAGATGCAGGGTGTGGCTGGGAAGGGGGACAGGGGAGCTACCTGAAGTGCTTGAGGGATTCAGAGCTCCCCTGGCTGGTTCATGCGTGGGGACGTGTGGGTCATCAGCTCAGCCTGTAAATTCTCCCACCTGTTCTTCCAGGCAGGCATGCGTGCACGTGAATCTAACCTTCCTTCTCTTTCTCATAGATTTCTACAGCCAGACCACCATCTCTCCAGGTGAGTGCCAGCGTCCTGACTCGAGATGTTTATGCTTTTCCACCTGCCATCAGAATTGTTGGAATTCAGAAGCAATCTTCTTTTCTCAAGCCTTCTAGGTCTGCCTCAGACAGTTAGATAGGGGCTCAGTGGGTGATGTTTTCAGCTTCAGAAATGGAGTCACTCATCCCATGAGCCTTGGTCCTTTCAGATTCCAGGCTGACACGGTCCAGTGGGAAGTGATGTTGATCATCTCTGGCCTGCAAGCGCCGTGTTAACATCAGCCAGATGCCTGTGCCCCTCACTCCTAGAAACTCCCCCAGACTTCACAGGGCCGCGTCTGCACCCAGAGGAAGGTGTACACGAGGTTGTAAGAGGGAGTTTCTAGTGACCAGTGCATGGATTCTCCTATGTTCTACACCCTGCTCTTCTGGCGCTGGGTATCCCAGTGTGCACCGTGGTGTCACGTGTACCCATCAGCACATGGTCAGCAAAGGAACAGACAAAGCTTCCTTCACTAGAAAGAACATCCCTGGAGGAGAAGGATGGGGGTCAGCCATGGGGTCGGCAGGGCCTTTGTCCTACGGATGAGGTCTTAGGTGGGAAGCTGTTGCACATGACCAAGGAGTTTGTGGCACAAGCTACAAGTGGAATTGCTGATGAGTCTTGTATGGTGGGGAGAGCACTCAGTGTTGTCCTTTCTTCACTTGAAGTCGATTTTTACCTCTTCTTTCTAGGGCCTATTTCAAACACATCACCTGCCTTCAGGACTTTGGAATCAACAGGTAAGCATCGGCTCTGTGACGGATAGGTGGGGGGTGGAGGGAGTTGCTGCCTTGCCCCTGTCTCTGTGGGTTCAGTGGCAAACAGAGCAGGCCAAGCTGGTGATCTGTTGTGAGCCTGTCCCTTCCTAAGACGCCTTAGTGAAGACCATTTCTTGCATCCTTGAAGTCAAGGGAGAGATGGATGGAGTGTTCTGTGCCCCTCTAGATACTGCACTGAATGTGAAGCTGATGAATGGGAGTGGCTGGTGTGAAGGCCGGGTGGAGATCCTGTACCAGGGGGCATGGGGCATCCTGTGTGATGACAGATGGGACACTAGTGATGACAACATGGTGTGCAGGCAGCTGGGCTGTGGCTCAGCTACCTCAGCCCCAGCAAATGCCCCGTGTGGTCAGGGCTCAGGGCCGGTTGTGCTGGATGATGTGTGCTGCTTGGGAAGTGAATCCTACCAGGATAGTGAAATCCTTCACTATCAGCACTGGCCCACCCAGACTGGCTCTCTCACAACCGCAGACACCATGCAGACACAGGTGTCATCTGCACAAGTGGGCCTCCAAGATCCGTGCCCCACCCATTGGGAACAGCTTCTGATCAGTCCCCCAGCCCTGCTCCCACAGCTTCCTCTGGGTGCCTTTGATTTGTGGTATGCTTCTGCTGCTCCCTCCTTAGACAGAGGGCCCTGTGGGCTGGTGCCCATCCAGGCTCAGATCTGAGTAGGGACATTTGGGCCCTGGGTATTGGTCTCTGGGTATTGGTGGTGCCATGCAGAGTTGATAGGTTATTGTGTTGTACTCAAATTGAATATGTCTTTGTTTCTCACTCTTTGTTTTCACTAAGTCTTTAAAAAGGAGGGAAAGGCTGCTTCCTTCTTCCAACTCGTTTGAGATGATTTTAGGGGGGCCGATGGCAGGTTGTAGGGTGTCCCGTACCCCATGCATCATCAAGCTGCCTTTGGTCGTGGAAGACTCCTCGGGCAGTCGCTGAGCCCAGAGGGGCTGGGAGGAGAATCACATCTTTGGAATGACTGGGGCAGACTTTACCCCATGCTGCAGGGGGTGGGAATGAGGAGGGCGGCGCTTGGCCCCTGCAGATGTTTGCTGAGGTTCCTCTGGTAGCTGACCCTTGACTCTAACGGGAAGGTAGCATCCGTCACTCCCAGGTAGCCTCAGTGACAAAACCTGAGCCTGTAGGGCACCTTGAATGCAAGGAACAAGCATCATCTACCCACACCCATCTGAATGGTGAGAAATAGATTTCATCATAGTGAGATGGTTCTATGCCTGGTGTTGATGTGAGCTTCCACCATCTTCTGGCTGGGAACTGGGGACATCCTTTGCCAGGGACCCAAGGTGCGTCCCTTGTCCTGTAGAGGTCATTTGTTCCCCTGGTCCTGTAGAGGTCTTTGTCTCCCTTGTCCTTAGAAGTCATTTGTTTGATCTCTGTTGCTCTGTCTCATGTGAGGCCATCCATTCACTCACCTTGCTGATGAGCACAGGATGCTGGTGTGAAGATGCACATGTACAGTGCACTCCTGTAGGTCAAGCTTGCAGATGGCTCTGCTTCCTTCACCCTCCTCAGTTTCCCTCTGCTTCTGCTAGGCATCAAGGGGCAGCTGCCTTGTTCTTCCAGTGCCCAGTGAACCTAATTTTTCCCAGCTTGCTCCCTGGTATATTTGCAGGAAGTGCAGATGTGTGTGGCTGTGTCAGAGAGGTAATGGTAGCAGAATGGGGAGCAAAAGATGTCAGAGAAGAGGACAATCCAGATAGGGGGCGATGGCGGGTCGGCCTTTCTCCAGGGCTCTCATGGCATGGATGAGAGCTGCTCAGGATCACCCCAGGGAAACCAGTCACTGTCCATTTACCCTCGGACTTTACCCTTCAGGGAGGGGCAGTGGTGATACCCCAGCTTCCTGACCCTGATAAGCTGCACAGAATCAGATTAAGTAGGAACCCTGTGTCTTCTCCAGCAGGAGATTCTGGTTTGGCGCTGAGGCTGGTGAACGGAGGAGACCGGTGTCAGGGCCGCGTGGAGATCCTGTACCAGGGGTCCTGGGGCACCGTGTGTGATGACAGCTGGGACACCAATGATGCCAACGTGGTCTGCAGGCAGCTGGGCTGTGGCTATGCCCTGTCGGCTCCGGGGAATGCCCGGTTTGGTCAGGGCTCAGGACCCATTGTCTTGGATGATGTGGCCTGCTCAGGGCACGAGTCGTACCTGTGGAATTGTAACCACCGGGGCTGGCTCTCCCATAACTGTGGACACCAGGAAGATGCTGGAGTCGTCTGCTCAGGTGAGCCCCACACCAGCTAGTTCTCCCTGCCTGAGAATCAAGTTTGAGCAGGTCACCTTTCCCTACTCCTAGAATTTGATTCTGCCATCATTCACTTCTGGCGTCCAGTGCAAAGGTCTGTAAAGAAGGAGTTTGGGGCGGAGGGTGGCAGATGTGTGTATGCACACAGCGGACCTGAGGCTTGAGAGCCTGGGTCCTTGCCTGCTGCTTCCTCCGGGGAGCCAGTAGGGGGCGTCCTTCCGGGAGTGTGTGTTGGGGGTGGCTCTGCGGCAGGGGGAACCCTGCTCAGCATCTTCCCTTTGCACCCCAGCTTTGCCTCCTTTGGTGTAGCGCCTCTGACCTGACCTTCCCTTTCTTGCAGCGGTCCGGAGGCCATTGACTACCGTTCCAGGTAAATCCCACTGTGAATTCACTCCCGTGTGTTCCTCTCTCCTGATACTCTTTACAGCTCCAGCCGGTAGCTCTAGGAGGGGACTGTGGAGCATTCTTGCTCTGCCCATTCCAGAAGGATAATACAGATCCAGTTCCTGACCTGTGGTGCTCAACAGCGCGTACCCAGTGCTCTTGGGGACCAAAGGCAGAGCTGTCTTGGGCTATTTCTGCTGGAAAGCACCATCTAAACCAAAAGCCACATGGGAGGAGACTAAGTGATTCTTTTCCCAAAGCTCCCTCCTACTGGAGAGAATTAAAGTTCCCTTTGGGACTAGATGGAAGATATATTCTGGAGCATGATTTGCTGACCACTGGCTTTCTCGGAGTCCCCTGCCTCTGGTCCCAGCCACATCTCAGGGGACCCAGCTGTGATTCACAGTCCTCCCCTCTAATCCAGCTTTGTTTTCTCCTCTAGCTTGGTGGCATACAACAACTCCGTACTATGGTAAGTATATATGGGAGAAGCTAAAGCAATTGCCTTCAGCCCTCTAACGGACAGGTCTGAGGGGAACTGCTGAGGTCACTTGGGGGCTCCTTTCCCTTGCCAGTTGCGTTGTGCTGTAAGTGGGTCTTTGAGTCAGGATGCTTTTGTCTGCAAGTGACAGGAGCCCCACTCAAAATCTGAGCTAGAAGGGAACTTGCTGGCTTCCTTGCGCAGGACATTTACTGTTGTGCTCTAAGTACAGCTTGGAACGGAAGGTCCAAGACTGACTTTCTCCTTAGGCTTTTCATAGGCCCTCTCTTTTCTTTGGGGGAAATCCTTCACTATCAGCTTGCTTTTGTATGTAAGGGGAGGAGAGTAGTTATTTGTCCCAAGTCAATGTCCCACCAGGAGAAAGATTCAGAACTCACATCATATAATCTTGACAGGTTTCTAATAGGACCCCCCTTCTCCCTTTCCCTCTTCCCTTATCCTCTCTTTTTCTTTTGGTGGCACTAGGGTTTGAACTCAGGGTCTCTTGCTTGTTAGGCAAAAAAAAAAAAAAAAAAAGCCAAGCAAGATGTATAAGTCTCAGAGTTCAAGCCCCAGCACAGGACAAAACAAGCAAGCAAGTAAACAAGCAAGTATTGCTCTTCGTGCCACACTGAAAATGCTGTGTGTGAACTATGTGGGAATGAGCTGTGAACCGCAGCCTCCACAGGCCACTAGCTGCCACCAGGACTCTCCTGAGAAGTTCTGTAGTTAGAGAAAGGACTTCATTTCGGAGGGAAGGCTTTTGGGATTGCCTAAGGTGGCCCTAAACTCTCCATCCGATCCTTCTGCCTCCACATCTGCTGAGCACCCCAACCCCACAGAAGATAAGGGATTTAACATGTCTCCTGAGGCAACACTCATGGAGTTAAAAACCAGTCGCTAAAAATCCTGTAACCTTCCTCTTCTTTCTAGATTGGTGGGATGTAACAACTACACCCCGTTCGCGTAAGTATCCCATTTTCATATTTTATCCCTAAGCCTGGCCAACCATAAAGAAGACCCCTACCCCGCCCCAGCTCAGTATGCAAAAGCCAATTACCCTAGGGATGCCCACGGCTCTATGCCAGGACTCAGGCCCACACCCACCATGTCTGTCCTGTTGGGAGATCAGCCATTCTGCGACTTCTTCATTAATTCAGTGTCAGAAGTACTTGTGACTTAAAGGATTTTTACTTCTTTAAGTGTCTCCAGAGGTTTGGAAGAAAGAACATCGAAGGGGAGTGAACGGTTCATTCCAGCCATGATCACAGTGCTTTGCCCACTTTCACAGGTTGCTTCCATTGCTCTGAAAACACAGTGTGTGGCTGATCTTGGGTGCCCTTGAATTTTTTCTCACCGCCATCTACAAATATCTGTATATTATTCTATAGTGGCTATGCCAGTAATTAGTTAACTGATGGCTTATATGTCAGTGTTATAAATGACGTGATGAAAAATATCTTGATAGATAGGTCTTCTACATTGTTTTACTTTTTTTTTGGACAGGACCATCTGTGGAACTCAAGGCATCAGATTTGCTAAGCAGGGCCCTCTTCTACATGAGTCATGCTTGCAGCCTGTGTGTGTGTGTGTGTGTGTGTGTGTGAGAGAGAGAGAGAGAGAGACAGACAGACAGACAGACAGACAGAGACAGAGAGAGACAGAGATGGAGAGACAGAGACAGAGAGAAAGAGAGAGAGAGGGTTATATTTTAGGTTTTTTCTCATTTTTCCCATAGTGCTCTTTGAAAATAATTTTCCCATGTATGTATTCTATATGGTTGGGGCTACAGATATCAATTACCACACCTGCGGTGTGTGTTGAGGTAGGTCTCACCAGACTTTCACAAACTGGCCTCATACCACAATCGTCCCAGTATCTGTCTCTTGAGTGGTTAGAAATATAGGTAAATGCCAGCACCACTCCTAGACTTCCTTAACAATGTTTCTTTATGAAATAAAGACACACCAATCACAGGCAGGAGCTCAAGTGCTCAGCAAGGGTGAGGCCCTGAGTTCACATCATAGCACCACAAAACAGACACTAGAATTTGATTTGCCAGATAAGCATCAGCTCAGTTTCAGATTAGCAGAGGATCCTTAATAAATAGTATCTATTTCAGTGGGAAGTTTCATAACACCTAGTTGTGTGTTGGGTTAAAGTGCCACTGAGCATGGCTGCACAAGTATTAGAGAACCATGAAAACTCAGATCTCCTGCTCGGGTGTTTCACAGTATTAAAGTAGAATCAGCACTGTCAAGGGGAGCCATGTGTAAGAGACAGGAGGCTCTCTCGCACACTTCCTTAGAAAGGGATGGGAAACGCTTTCTGGCAAACCATTGAGCCAAAGGCCACAGTGTCAATCACCACCAGGTGTCTCCTAGATGGGCTGCTCAGAAGGCCCCAGGTGGGAAGGAGCTGCAGTCTCTGCGGGAAGGAAGGTGACAGCAGGAAGGGCTGCAAAACATAAGTGAGGAGCTTGAGGATGGGGGAGCACTCTAGACTTTATCTTGGGGACAGCAGAGTTGCCGGAAAGCTCTACGCTGCGGAGTGACAGAATTGGGAAGGGTTTGCTGAAGACCTTGCTATCTTTTCTGTCAAACTGCCTTTCCTGAAGTCCAGGGTCGTATCTGCCCTTTCATTGTTGCCTCATTACCATGGTCTGCCACTTAAGATCTACTGTGGAAAGAATGACTCCTGGTGCCTAATTGCTATTGGCATTTTGTCAAACAGCACACACAAACGCAAAAGCATACATTCACAAATAATGGTAGAGCATGCCCTATGGCTTTATTTGTGGTTTGTTTATGTTTGTGCTAGGGCTTGAACTCAGGGACTGATGCTCTAGCTTTATTTTCCAAAAGGCTAGTTCTCAAGGCGAGTTCTGCTATGTGAGGCACTTCTGGCTCTTTTTCTGGTTCATTGGAGATAAGAGTCTCCCAGATTTGTCTCCATGGGCTGGCTTCAAACCACACGCTTCATACTGCAGGCTTCTGAGCAGCTAGGCTTATGGGTGTGAGTGTTTGTTGCCTGACATGCCCATAACATTCATTTTCTTTAAAGAGAATGTAATAGTTTATTTTATTGTCCATCATGGCATCTGAACTCTGGGCCTGGGCACTGTCCCTGAGCTCTTCAGCTCAAGGTGAGCACTCTTCCACCTGAGCCACATCACCACTTCCAACTTACCCTGTTTATGTGGTGCTAAGGAATCCAACCCAGGGCCTCATGCATGTAAGGCAAGCACTCTACCACTGAGCCACCTTCCTGAAATAGGTTATAATTATCCTGTGGCCTTAAAATTAGTGTCTTATGGTACTGAAATTATTTGTATAGCACGAGGCTCAAGGACTGCCCATGCTGCATTGCATGGCTGTATCATAGTTTTATTAAATAATATACATTAATCATCATTAAATCATGGACTAGATTCTGGAGGGTGGAAATGTGAAGATGCTCACCTAGAAGACAGTTGCTTGTCATGAAGCACCTCAAGGTAAAGGGGATGTTGCTCTCCTTCTCTTCTCTACAGCAGCTCCAAGTTGTGGCGGCTTCTTATACAATGGCAGTGGGGTGATCTCCAGTCCATCCTACCCTGCGAATTACCCCAACAACGCCCTGTGTGTGTGGAAAATCCAAGTCCGTACTGACTATCTCATCACCGTGCACTTCACTGACCTGAGGTGAGGGTCATCAGGGGGCTGAGGAGGGCAGTGCTCTCCTTGACACACCTGGAGCTTTAGGCTGGGTCTGTGCCTGGGTGCTTTCCACCCTCCTGTGCTCTGGGTAAACTTTGGCCATGTTTAGTTCTCTCCCAGAAAGCTGCAGGGAAGTCCTCCAGTGCAGTGTGGGAAGACCTAGACCATGAACTTGTATCCAGTAGGATTGTCAGTGTTGACTTGGGTCCATATTTTCTTTATAGGCTGGAGTCTACCAGTAACTGTGCTTATGATTATGTTGAAATCTATGATGGATCCATAAATAGCAATAATTTACTAGGAAAGATCTGTAATGGCAGTGGGCAAATATTTACATCTACCAACAACCTTATGACTGTTCGATTCCGAAGTGATGGCAGCATCCAAAACGTTGGCTTTTATGCCCAGTACAACTCCTTCCCGAGAGGTAAGTACCAGCTTAGCCTGGCGGTGTGGCCTGTGAATGCAGTTTGGTTCCTGGAATAGGTGGGTGGTGAAGAGCCTCCCCTGAGCCTGAGCTTCTCCCAGCTCCCAGCTTATCCTTGTGAGCCTGAGCTTCTCCCAGCTCCCAGCTTATCCTTGTGAGCATCAGGAGCAGGAGGCCTGGCCCAGACAGTAGGTATTCAGAACAGAGGATGCACTTGGCTTTGAGTCTACTCTGGTTACCTGTTAAAGCTGCTTTTCCCAGAGCGCTGGTGGCTCATGCCTGTAGTGCTAGTTCTGCAGGAGACTGAGATCTGAGGATCGCAGTTCTAATCAGCCCAAGCAGAATAGTCCAAAGAACTCTTCAGTTAAGGGGCAAAAAGGCAGAAGTGGACTTGTGTGTCAGGTGTCAAGAGAGCCAGCCGCATCTCACAGACACTGGAAGGACTTTAGGTCCAAGAGAACATGGTGGCTGTAACCTTTCCTGGGATACTGATGAACCCCCCAAAATAATGGGGTGGTCAGGGGCAGCGGGCTTTCCCTGGAACAGAATAACTCAGAGTGGGGCTCAGATGACAAGTCCCCTTCATGTCACTCGCTTCCTTCTGGAAGCTCCTGTCTGTCTCTCTTGTGCTGACCTATGTTTTTCTTCTTTCTCATTTTAGGACTTCTTCCTGTATCGACAATTCGTAAGTGCCTGTGGTTTTTTATCTCAAGCCTCATGCCTGGGCTTTTTGCTACTGTGGGACTTCTGTCATCCAGTCACTGAGTAGCTTGCCTGTCACACCTCTCTGGCCTGTGGCATTCCTCCTATCCCCTGCTGTGAGCAGCCCCAGCAGGGCTGAGCTCTTTTGCTCAGCCACAGAACAGTTTGTCCCTCTTAATCCTTCAGTGGCCTGGCTGACCAGGATTTGGATCTCCAGTCAGTCCCTAGGAGAGGGCTTCTCCTATGAGGTCTTCCTGTCCCACGGCCCACAGCACCAGAGCCTGTCCTGGGCAGGCAGGCCAAGCAATGTGGCCTTATGGCAGAGCTGGAGGCAGAGTGAGCCTCGGCCCTCCTGGCCTGCTGCCAGGCTGATGCCGCATCCCTCTGCTCTCACCCACTTTCTCCTATCTGCTCTTTGCTCTCATCCGCATGCTTAGTTCCGGATTCAGCGAGCAGAGGTCCAGGGGCACCTTTGTGCAATGTCACTGTCTCTCTCAGCCTCAGCACTGTTTTGTATTGGTTTTTTAAGAAAAAGTTCAACAGAGAATGTTTATTTCAAAGTGAAAGGAAAGCTTTGCAGGAAAGTAAGGAGCCCTCCTGTTTGGACAGGTGCTGCAGAGAGGAGGCAGAGGCGTCCTCTGAGAGCACGCTGTTGTAGCACAGTGCTCCTCCGTATCTCCTCCCCCCTGCTTTGGCCTCATTCTTGATGGCTTCTGCGTGCACAGCCCCTGCTCTTTTCATTGGTTGCGTGGGCACCAGGGCATTATGGGAAGTAGTGTTTGATTATGGACTCACAGCACTGGGGGAAGAAGAAACTCACATCCTCAGCACTTTCAAGAGCTCCAAGGCTTCAGGGCTTCCCACAAATTCCTCCCTGAGTCTACTGCTTCCTTATGACCCACATGGACATCCCCATACATGTCATCTGTGGGTCCCTCTGTCCCCAGAAGCCCTCCCTCCTTCTTTATCAGCTCCCCTCCAGCCCCATTACCTGCTTTCTCTCCTCCATTCGGTCTGGGTCAGGAGCCCTGTCTCTGGATCCTATCCTTCCCTTGACTTTCCTCCACCTCAGCCTCATTCTCATGACATTTTGTCCTTTTTGTGACCTGTGAAGTCCCCAACGGCAAGGCCTGGGTTCAACCTCTTGCTGTAGGCCCAAGATTGGGCCTATTTTGTCAAGGATGGCAGACAATTAATTGGGGTTCTTTTTCTTTGTCAACAGCATCTGTTCCTTCCACCGACTACCCTAACTGTAAGTTCTGAGTCCCTGAAAAATCTATGGCAGAGATGTCTCCTCACCTCCCCTGATCCCACGCACACTTCTCTTTCCCTTAGTGACAGGGACACTGCCTGAGGAAGAAGGGCCTGATGGTAGCTTACCTCAGCATAGCCCATCCCCTGGGAGGGTGGGCGTCCCGTGGGCCTCAGTGATGATCTGGATCTAGATCACTTGTTGTTAGAAACTGTGACCCACCCCAGCCCCTGACTGTATAATGTGCCTAGGGATCATCAGCATTTCCATTTTATTCTCACAGTAAATTATTCCTGCGGAGGCTTCTTGTCCCAGGCATCAGGGTACTTTTCCAGCCCGTTCTACCCTGACAATTACCCAAACAACGCCAGATGTGTGTGGGATATCAAGGTCCCAAGCAACCACCTCGTGACTATTACCTTCAGAGATGTTCAGTGAGTGTGGACGGCGGAATGCCTTGGGAATCTGATGGGAAATATTTGGAAAGAGTGTGTGTGAGGCTTAGAGACTCAGGGAAGATGTGGATCTAGGTGCCATTTTAACTTAGAGGTTCAGTTTTTGACCTAGTCGAGCAGCCGCCCACTGGCGGGAAGTGGTTAGGCGTGATGGCAGGAGTGGTCTAAAGCTCTAGAGCTGTCATTCATTTAATACGTGACCATGGGAAACCAGTCAACTTTCTTGAGCCTGAAAGAAGAGAGTAAAATCTTCTCACTGATTATTGGGAAGGTCACCAGAGAATGAGAAAATACATGAAAGGGAGGGATTGTGGTTAGGAGTGGAGACGTTCTTAAGGTTTCTAATGCAAATAATTCTGGGAAGAACTGCACGTCTTGTGCATCTCTTGCTACCCGCTCCCTCCTTTTTCTTCCCGTGAGTTCTGGGGCTGAGATGGGGACGTCATCGCTGCAGATTGTGGAGTAGCCATTCCTCATCCACTTACAAGTGGAAACCAGTGCCTCACAGCACAGGGCCTCCCCAGAAGTGTATGTGGTTTATCCAAGGAGGGGGTAGTCAGGTGACCATGAAGTGGTACTGATATTTTCCAAGAGACAAGGGGGTTCCATGCCTTCTTCTCCAACAAAAATAGTTTCTCTGTATTGCATTTGTAGCGCTCAAGGAACTCTCTGCCTTAAGAAAGGAATTTAGGCTTTGCCAAAGATTATTTGTATTGTCGCTTGTTGCTACATACAAAGGCTGAACTTAACGTTCTTGAGACACCCCCCATACACACCCTACTGGCACCCTACTAACACTTCGTCCTGCCAACCATGACATTTTTTAAGCACTTTTCCATAGCTTATCTCATCTGAGGCTCACACATCTCTCCAATCTGCACAGACAGGGCTGTTTCACCTCTGTAAATAAGAAAACTGAGTTTCAGAGACGTTACTTATATAATATGTATTTATTCAATTATTCATTTCTACCAGTCGATACACACTCATGGATATTTATTTTGTCCTATGAAAAACATGATTCTTGGATGGGAAAAAATAGTCTTAGTCATGCTGTGAGCTCTTTAATTTTTCTGTAAAAAGCCGTTAAAGAGAGGGATTATAGATTTTAGATGTGTGACCTCAAAAGTCAGGACCAAGACTCAAGCATGGTGGCTGATGAGAGAATAAGGCCCCTTGACCTAGGAAGTCAGTCAGCAACTTTGTTCAGGGTTCCAGGCACTAATTCTGACCCCCTCCCTAAGGTCCAATAGATTCTGTACACAGCGGCGCTAAACCATGTGTTCTGTCTCTTCAGGCTGGAAGGAGGCTGCAACTATGACTACATTGAGGTTTTCAATGGCCCCTCACACAGTTCCCCAATCATTGCTCGGGTTTGTGATGGGGCTGTGAGGTCGTTCACCTCCTCATCAAACTTCATGTCCATTCGATTTGTCACGGACGGCAGCATCACTCGGAGAGGGTTCCGGGCTGAATACCGTTCCATCAGATCCAATGACAGCACCAGTAAGTTCCCTTGTGAAAATGCTTGGTTAGCAGTGGGAATATCACGGGGAGCCTCTTTCTGCCCACCTGGTTTGTAGCTGTGAGATAAGCATCCTCATTAAGGATCCAGTGATGGGTTTCTTTTTGAGAAGAGGTCATTGCTTGTGAGTCTGGGGACTCCAGATGCCCCAAACAAGGTCAAGAGCCAGCACTGGCTGATGAGGGGGGTGGGTGTTGGCTTTTGAGTTCAGTAGAGAATAGGTAGAGTATGTAAGATGATGCTCTCAACACACAGTGAGAAGTAGGAGCCAAAGGCCTGGATGTTTATCTGGCTTGAATCTTCCTGACCTTCCCAGACGATGGGACACTAGCCACATTCTGAGGCGTAATGCTTTGGCTTCTCTCTGAAGAGAAATGGAACTGGTCATAGCCACTTCCAGTAGAGATGCTCTATGGACTAATGTGTACATTGGTCAAGTTCTTACGTAGTCAGGATTTGAAGCATTGACTTTCTCTATGGCTAAATGACACAGTCTCTAATTTCATAATAGAGTTAGTTTACTTTATGGATAAATGCTACAACTTGGCAAAACATTTGACTCCAATTGTTTATCTGAGAACTCCTAAGTCCATGTGTCTTCCTTGGGCTTTTGTGACAGTGAAGCTGATTGGAGCTATAGGGTACGTGGTGGGTTTCAGTTATGTAAGTTGCAAGCATGCATGTCATGGGTTGATCACTCTCTCAGCCATCTTGACCTGTGACTCTTATATGGGAAGAGTGGTAGGTCTTGTGGGACTTTGGGCTGCTGACAGTGTATTCCATTATCTATCAGGTCTGTCTTGTTTGCCGGATCACATGCTAGCCAGTGTGAGCAGGAGCTACCTCCAGTCTCTGGGCTACTCGGCCAGAGATATTGTTATTCCCTGGTGGAATGGGAGCTACTTGTGTCATCCCCAGATAACACCAACCCAAGTGATATTCACAATTCCCTACAGAAACTGTGGCACCTTCAAGCAGGTAAGTCTGGAGCACCTGCTCTGTTTCCCTGCCTTCTTCTTTCTTTCTTTCCTTCTTTCTTTCCTTCTTTCTTTCTTTCTTTCCTTCCTTCCTTCCTTCTTTCCTTCCTTTCTTTTTTTTTGGTCAGTCATGGGGCTTGAACTCTGGGCCTGGGCGCTGTCCCTCAGCTTCTCAGCTCAAGGTGAACACTCTACCACTTGAGGCACAGCGCCACTTCCAGTTTTCTGGTGGTTAATTAGAGATAAGAGTTTCATGGAATTTCCTGCCCAGGCTGGCTTTGAACCGCGATCCTCAGATCTCAGCCTCCTGAGTAGCTAGGATTCCAAGCGTGAGCCACCAGTGCCTGGCTCCCTGCCTTGATAGCAGCCATGCTTCTCAAATACTGGGGATTCTGTAGCTATGACTGTGGTACCATCAGAATAAAAGCAAGTAAAGGAAGGCAGAACTCTTTCACACCATAAGGAAGCTATAGCTATTCCCAAATAGGAGGGAGGAAGAGGAAGGAAGAGGAGGAGGAGATTTCTCCACCAGAAGAGAAGGCACCTGGCAGGTTACCACTCATGTGCTCAAATAAGAGCCATTAGTTGTCAAACTTCATTTACCCCAAGTGATTTACATTTTATTTATTTATTTTGTCGGTCGTGGGGCTTGAACTCTGGGCCTGGGCGCTGTCCCTCAGCTTTTCAACTCAAGGCAAGCGCTCTACCACGTGAGCTACAGCGCCACTTCCGTGATTTACATTTTATATGCATTTGTTTTAAATCGGTCATCCTAAATTCTGAATTTTTGCCTGTTTCCTAAATGATGATTGTGAGATTTTTATGTCAGGGACAGTTCAAGGGCCAGTACTTTTTCTTACCTTAAGAGGGTGGACAGACGCAGCATGAGATGCTCATCTGTGAGTGCTGCAGGTGCGTTTCCCAGGCTCAGGTGGCTACTGTACCGTAGAACATTCGCCACATGCCGGGAGCTAGGGCAATGCTGGGCATTTCATGGCAACCTCATTCCCTCTCCTTTGACACACGGTCAGCACTAAGAAAGGAAGGACACTCCTTGAACCCACCTGATGGGCTCCCTTGCTATGAATGCCTGTATCTGACGGCCAGCAATGGCTTTGGGGTCACCTAGCTTCCTATACCTGAACACCTCGGGGCTCCTTCCCAGAGGGCCAAGTAGACTTAACTGCAGGGGAAAGTACCCTCAAATCATGCCATGTAAGTAATGTTTCCTACGGATACAATTCTTTGGGGGCACTGGCCTTGAAATCACTTGAGCTTGTTGTTGAAAGAGTAATAACATGACAAAACTCATGGTTTAGTACATAATTAAAACATTTAAAGATGAGAATTGAAAGTGAAAAAGTGTAAGGTGCCTCCTACAAGTCTGCGGCTCTTCCTCACACCTGGGTATCGAACGCTGCCTCTGGCACCTTCTGCCAGCCAAGGTGACCTTGTCCAGGACTCCAGTCAAACTGGGGAAAAGGAAAGGAGAGGACAGACAAGAGAAGACAATTCCACCTCTGGGCACGTCCTAGAGGTGAAGACCGACTTCAGTCAAGGCTTGGATCTCTCTGACTCAGTGGCAGTCACCACACATCAGTAGCCTTTAGTCAACCCAAACAAAAAACAAGCAACACTGCTCTTACCAGAACAAGTGTGTGATCAACTCCTCAGATCCCTAGCAATAGTGAGAACAAAACAGAACATTCTGTTCTGAGCCCCGAGCCATGGAATCCAAACTCAGCTAGTGACATGGCAGGCCTAAGGACCATCTGGACGCACCTAGCTTGCCACCAGGAAGAGCAACAACTGGCTGCATTATAGTGGCCCCCTCATGTGGTAGAGGAAGTAGCTAGTGTTCAAGGAGTATGGGTGTGTGGAGAGGGGCAGGGTCTGTCCTGTTATGCTGACATTCAGCTCAGGTAATAGCAGCCCTAGGAGATGGCAGGTGCTGCCCCAGGGTAGTGATGGGTTCGTCTGAGTCTTGCTGAGATACTCCTCTCTCATTCCAACCCAAATGGGCAGTGAAATTCCCTTAGCAGGTAACGTTTGTCTGACCCACCTCTCCCTCCTGCTTCTCCAAGGTTGACAATGACACCATCAGCTATTCCAACCTCCTCAGAGCAGCTGTGACGAATGGCATCATCAAAAGGAGGAAGGACCTCAACATTCACATTAGCTGCAAAATGCTGCAGAACACCTGGGTGAATACCATGTACATAACTAATGACACGCTCGAGATCAAGGAAGTCCAGTATGGCGGCTATAATGTCAACATTTCCTTCTATACATCCTCCTCCTTCTCACGTCCTGTGACCAGCAGCCCATACGTTGTTGACCTGGACCAGAATTTGTACCTCCAGGCTGAAATTATCCACTCGGACACCTCCCTGGCCTTATTTGTGGACACCTGTGTGGCTTCACCCTATCCCAACGACTTCACATCTTTGACCTACGATATCATCCGGAGTGGGTAAGGACAGTCTTCAGGGGACAGAATTAGACTCTTGTCTGATAATACACACACAAGTTAGCTCCCAAAGGTTTCAGAAATACAGAGGTTTGGCTTACTGAGGTTCCTAGAAGTTCAAGATCGTCAGATGCCTCTCTGCATGCAGTGACAACCTGTGGTGTTTATCTTTTGAGGCGCTTTCCTGCTGTATCATGGATCACCTCCAGTTAACGTGTGGGGAGTGGTCATTCACAGGGGTTGGCTGTAAACTGGAATTAGACCCCAGGTGGCCAAACGCTAGCCTTAGCCTTAAAAAGACCAATGTGTAGGGAGCAGTATCCTCTGGGACAGTATTCTCACTTGTCAACTGTGGATAGTGACACCCCCATTTTTAAGTCTTGTGGGAGGACTAAATGAAAAGAAGATGATCTCTGAGCACTGAGGGTGTCCAGTGAGTGGTCGATAGGACTGTGGCATTGAAGGCAGCAGGAGGCCCCTGTGCTCCCGCAGTGGCTGAGAATGGAAGTTCTCCTGTCTGCCTCAGGAGGTGCAGAGATCAGGCTAGTGGTGTCCAGCCTAGAGGAACTGCTCTCCCCTGCTCCAGCTTCCTTGGACGGGGTATGTGGTGAGGTCATGTTTGACTCTCACAGGCCCGAGGTGCTGGGTGCTGAGTCTCTGCTGCTGGGTGGTTTGCAGGATGGTCCTTGACACCTTTGTAGCCACTGCCCCCTAAGAGAAATTATAACGCCAGGGCAAGGATGCTGGGAGGAATTACAGTTGGGGATTCAGTATCATGCTTCTCCAAAACGCTAATGGGCAGCATCTCTTCTTAGGCACAGGTGGACTATTTTCCAGGTTAGTAAGTGGTTGTTGAGGCTCATCTGGTCTACAGTTAATACACTGGGTTCACTGTGCAGACATCCCCTCCCAGATGCAAAGAGAGGGAAAAAGCCTACCCAGACACCCCCTCTCCACACAGTAAGAAGGTGATATTTAATGGATGTGAGGTGACTGAAATGAGTGGAAATGAGCGAATGATTTAGTTCTCTGCTGAAGGATTCTTGGTGATGGCACACTTTGCTGGGAGAAGGGGGAGCTGTATTGGGCGGTATGCCAACTGGACCTGGAACCTGTGGGCATCACTGGCTGTGTCCGGCCCTCAACCACATCCACTGGAGGCCCCTGAGATGGAATCGGGCTTCAGATGCTCCCTTCCCAGGCCTACCCACACATTCTCTTCATTTTATCTGCTTGGGGTCCACATCTTGTATTTTTATTCCCTTCTTTTCCCTTCCCCTCCCCTCCCTTCCCCTTTGTTTTTATCTTCCTGGCCCTCCCTCCTTCTCTCCCACCTACAACCAGGAAAGGGAAGATCTGTTCATGGGCTGTCTTGTCTTTGGCCCATTGGTGTGTTCCTAATTGGAGTGACTGTCCGAGATCTTCTAGCTTACCTGGACATTGGACCCCTGGTCACAGCAGGATTAGGCCCCAACCCATCGTGATCTATGGGCCAGCTGTCCATCTGTGAACCTGCAGGAAATGTGCTGTGGAAAGATGCTAATGATGTGCTAGAGTGGCCAGGATACATCAGCTCGCCACACAGGAAGTGTGGGAGCCACACATTGTTGTGGAAGGAAGATGAGGTAGTCCAGGAGATGTGGGCAGACAGGATGGGCTGTGGCATTCAAGGCCTGAGTCATGGAACATCCAGTGCTCTGGTTAAGTGCTAATGGGTTTCTTTTCTTTCCTTCCAGGTGTGTACGGGATGTCACCTACCAAACCTACTCCTCGTCATCACCCCATATCGCCCGCTTCAAATTCAATTCCTTCCACTTCCTGAACCGTTTCCCCTCAGTGTACCTGCAGTGTAAACTGGTGGTGTGCAGAGCATACGACTACTCCTCCCGCTGCTACCGAGGCTGCATAGTGAGATCCAAGAGGGATGTGAGCTCCTACCAAGAAAAGGTGGACGTCGTCCTGGGACCCATCCAATTGCAGGGCCCCCATGAAAAGAAGAGCCTGAGTAAGCGGTCACCTTCCGACCCCCATGCCCACTAAGGCCCAGGCCCATGACTCTAGAGGACTTGGGAAATGTTTCTGTGGGTCTCATGTTCCAACCTCAGTTAAGTACCTGATATGAGTCAGACATTGACTCGTTGAGTCAGGCCTAGTTCCTGCTTTCCCCCAAGGCCCCAGGTCTTTGGGACATGAGTGAGAGTTCTGATCTGGAAGACTATGGACATAACACCTTTATCCTGTGAGTGCACAACTCCCAAGACCCACACTTCTCATCTATAGATTGCAAATGTGAATGCGTATTTCTTTGGGCTGTTCAGAGGATCAAATAAAGTAATGTGAGTTCAATTGCCTTGGCCCTTGCCTGGTGTTTGGTGAGCAGTAGTTTTTGTTACTGTGTCTATGTTATCTCTGTAGCATCATTATGGTATCATTATTCGTCACAGTGACACAGATGGCAAATTATAATGCCAGTCCTTGGGGTCTGGGAGGGCTGTGGGGATGGACTCAGGCAGTATGGATACATTCTGAAGCCGTTTCGTTTCCCCCATCTAGAACAAGAGGCTGATTTCTGTGGTGCCATTTGGATGTTGGTATGGGGAGGAGAAGATTCTCAGTAGCGTGCTGAGAATCTCTGGTCTAAATGGGGGCCGTTCAGGCATGGTGATCGGAGTACCGGTTCACCCATGGTTGCCATGGTGACGGGAGCACATCAGTATTCACAAACCCTGTATCTGGCTGGTCCTTGTGGCCAGCTGATTCCACTCTTTCCTCAGTGCATACATAGCAAAGAACTATAATGTGCCAGGAAGCAAAAAAGTAAGCAGGTATAGACTGACATCCCTGCCCTTGAGGAGCTTAGATTCCTTTGGGTTAAGATCTGAATACACAACTCAGGGTTTACCACTTGAACTGTGTCCCCAGCCCTTTCTTCTTTCAATAATTTTTAAATAGGGAGAGTTTAGGACTTTTCTGTCTGGGAGAGTCTGGACCACAATCCTCCTCTGGGTGCTTCCCTCGTGGCTGGGTTGACGGGTGCGTGTGACAATACTCCACTTTATATTGGTTGAGATGGAATCTCTCAGACTTCTTGTCCTGGTTGGCCTTGGAGCGAGCTGCCCAATCTCTGCCTCTCAAGTAGCTAGGATTGTAGGTGAGATCCCAGCTCTGCCTGAGACTCTTGTAGCTCATTCCCAATGGGTCTAAGTGCTCTAACTTTCTCTTCCACAACTCCATTGGCCAGAATTTTTCTGCCAAAGTTCAGCTGTGAGTCTCTTCTCACAAACCCTTTCTTGGTTCCCCTGGCTAGGAAGAAAATCCGAAACAGAATCCCAGCTTCCCAGTTTCCCTGTCGTCACTTCCTCTCTCCCCTCCTCCTCTGCTTCTTTCTTTCCTTCCTTTCCTCAGTGCCTTGCACTCGCACTTGGCTATTTTTTCCTCCTGGCTACCACTTGAGACACGCCTCCAGTCCTCTCCCCCATTTCTTTATCTCTTCCTCCTCAACAGTTCATTCTCCCCTTTTCTTCAGGTTCCAACTCTATTGTTTCACTCTCCTCCTCACACCTGGCCGTGGCATACACAGAGGAGCCAGCCAGCTGGCAGGGGAGCAACCACAGCGCTGCCATTGCGGCCGGGGTGTTCCTGGCTGTGGTCCTAGCCGTGGCAGCCTTCACTCTGGGAAGGACGACACAGACCACAAGCAACTGTCCCCCAAGTACCAAGATGTAAAGCCAGGAGAATGCACGCTGACACTGGCTCCCTGTGCCCATGCTCCCAGAGAAGATGGAAGACATGAGGGGCAGAGCGCAGTACCCTGCTGTATCCCAACTTGGCACAAATGTGCAGTGAGGTGGGTTGAGGCGACCGTGAAGAAAGGCAGAGGCCTCGGTTTCCCCAGATCCGAAGCATCATGGTATCTGCAACCCTCGGTGCAGCTGTGAACACAACAGTAGAAGTGGCAGAGCTTTTCCTAGGTTCAATAATCATTCTCATTTTCTACACCTTAGTGTCTTGATCTGTAGTATAAATATCAGACTTTCTGATAGGGAAAACTAAATAAAGAATCTTTGGTCATTGTTTCCAGAGGCTTACCTACAAACTGGGTTCCCTCCAATTAAGCACACAGCAAGGGTGAGATGATAAAGGATGGTGTGTGTGTGTGTGGGGGGTTCTTCTCTGTGCCTTCTAGAACCTTCCAGGGAATGGACAGCATGTCTTCCTAGTATCCTTGGCATGGTTCAGTTCTTCCCAGGCTAGAGAAAGACAAGCATGCTAACTCCATCATCCTTCTCAGTGCTTGTGGGTTAAAATTAAAGAATTCTCTCAGTCCACAGCTTCCTTCATGCCCACAGCTTCAGGAAAGGACACCAAGGGTCATGCAGGAAATCTCTAGAGAGAAGTGGATTGATCGGTGATCCAAGGAGATGGGAGAGGGAAATGAATGGGGCGGGGTCCAGGAATACAGTGAATTTGGAGGAAATAGGAAGTAGGGGCCTGAGGGCCTCTACTTCCAAGTTCAGCCCTGTAGAAGTGAGAACTTTTGTTTTCTGTGCTAGCAATGCCAACCTCAGCCCTGCTGGTCCAGCTCAGGACCCTACAAGGAGCCTACAAGGCCTAACCTCAGATGTGTGACTGGAGCTTAGAAGATTCTGGAGGGCCTCCAGGAGGACCAGAGGACCAAGAGACAAGGAATCCACATGAGACTCGGTCACAGCTGCCAGCTCTGGTCAGAACTGCCCACCATCAGCATTTTTCCTCTTTCCAACGTAGGGGCAGGGGAAAGGTTTAGTTTGGTGAGATTTTTCTGGATTCAGAGGTAGAGGAGGAGTGAGGGAAATTTGGCACATCATATTAGTGAGGCCCAGAGGGTTAACTAGTAAAGCTGAAGCAGCATTGAATGCTGAGCAGTGAGAAAACTTTCCAACCTTACTTCAGCTCCATCCTTCAACTAGGACAGCTTCAGTGGCCACACAACGCAGCAGGGTCACTCTGTTCTGATGAAGCGCCAAGCTCCTGTACACCATGAACCCATTAGGGCCCTTTGCAAAGAAAGCTATGAGTTGGAAAGGACAAAGGAGGCTTCTACAATCCAGAAGAGAAGAGTGTAGTCACTGGAAATGGGTCAGAAGATGGGACTGGCATTTCACAAAAGGCTGGGGTGTCACGAGGGACATCAAAAAGGTGCCAACCCCACTGGAAACTGAAGAAGAGTACCTTCAAAAATTAATGATTTTTTCATGCATATTTGATCAAATTATTAAAAATTCATTTGTAATATGCATAATTGGTAAGTGTTCAGGAAGCTGGATCGGCAGGTTCTCTTGATGATCATATTGGTAATGGTCTTCAGTAGAGACCTGGGAGGTTGGTGTGCAGGAAAACGTACAACATCTACCCCTGACTCACCAACCTCGTTATGTTTTTGAAAGTTTTCAGTCTTGGATCTACTAGGATGACTTCCTGTGCACTGGAGAGTGTTTTATTAAACAGCATCTCTGGACTCTGCCTATAACCCCAAGTTATGACAAGGAACAAATGTCTCCATATTGTCAAATGCCACAGGGAGCAGGGATAGGAAATTCTACTAGGGTTGGGAACACTGCCCTATAAAATGGCGCCCTAGAGGAAGTGATTGAGTTGTTTTTGACTATATAGCTTGTGTTTTATCTTCACCTTTATTATTTTAATAATTGAATTGTATTGCTGGGAGCTGGTGGCTCATCCCTGTCAGGAGGCTGACATCTGAAGATTGCAGTTCAAGCCAGTCTGGGCAGGAAAGTCCATAAGACTCTTATCTCCAAATAACCACCAGAAAACAAGAAGTGCTACTGCAGCTCAAGTGGTAGAATATTCACCTTGAGCTGAAGAGCTCAGTGATAATGCTCAGGCCCAGAGTTCAAGCCCCAAGTCTGGCAAAAATAATAATAATAATTGAATTGTTTTTAAGTTTACATAAAAGCTTTGCTGAAATATAGCTCAAATGCCATTATATAAAAAACATATGGTATTGGGGTTTGAACTTAGGCCCTCATGCTCTAAAAACGTGTACCCAAGAACTTTTTATTTTAGTTATTCTTTGTCAGAGAGGGTCCCACTTTAGCTCAGGCCCAGTTTCTTACCTACACACCTCTTGTGCAGTAGACATTATAGTACTACTCTACCATCTCAATTTACACATTCAAAATTTATACTTACAGATTTTTAGAATATCAGCAGAGTTGTACAGGCATCATCACACTCAATTTAGAACATTTTCATCATTTCCAAAACAAATAATATATCCATCAAAACTCACTACTTATTTGCCTTCAACCTTTGCCACAAATTTTGTTACACCCAAACTGAATCCTGTCTCTATGAATTTATCTCTTCTGACAACTGACATAAATGAAATCCTACAGTAAAGAGTCTTTCACTTAGCATGAGACTCCAAGGTTCACCCCCATTTTTTAATAAATCAATACTTCATTTCTTCCCATGACTGAATAACATTCTGTTACATGGACGTACTATACTTTATTTGCTCATTGATCATTGGATGGACATTTAAGCTGTTTCCACTGTGGGTTCATTATAAGGAAGTTGCTGTGAACATTCATTTACCAGTCTGTGTGTGTACACATGTTCTGAATTCTCGTAGGCAAATAGCTTCTGGCATGACTGGGCCAGAAGGAAGCTCTGCGTAATAGGCTTTTGAGGAGCTGTGAGACTGTATCACAGGCACAGTACTGCGGTTTGCCTTGGACTGTGACAGCATCCTGGGAATGAGCCCATGTACAATGAGCCATGTGGCTCATTATAATGCAGACACATATCCGTGCATGTGGGCAATCCCATCCCCTCTGCACCTGCCCCTTGTGCTGCTCCATTGTCTGCTTGTAGACCTTGAGCAGCCACAGAGCTTATTTCTGTTGCATTGTCCCTTGAGTGGTCTTCAGAGAGCTTGTGGAGGGACTGCAGTAGGAACGGGGTTCTACCACTGATGTGTGGTGACCGTGGACAAGCATCTTGACGTCATGATCTCCGTTGCTTGCCTGTCCCTGGCCTGCCTCACCTCCCAGGTGTTGTGAGACTTCTGAAACAAGTAGAAGGGAAGGTATAAGTTACCCAAAGGCAGGAGAGATCCCTACACAGGGGATGCACCATGTCCTTCCCACTGAGGAGGACTCTTTTCTCTAAGGATGCTGGAGTAGAGGTAAAAAGGAAAGGGAACCACTGGCCTGTATTTCCAATCTCAGTGACAGAGGACCTGGAGCCTGGCTGCGGATGGTAAATGTGAGTTGGTATACAGCCACACTTCACACCGACCTGTAGGAAATGGAAGGGCCAGGCAGGCCCTCATTCCTGCCACTTGGCCAATGTGGCTCCAGGGAGGGAGGGAGGAGATCAGATTTCAGGAGAGTCTCCTTATAGCCACACCAGCAGGTCTGAGCTCTCCCAGCAGCTAGAGCCAGGCCCTGCCCAGGATGAGGGTGTCCACAGCCTTCACAGCTCTTGCTTGGGTGCTGCTGATCAGCGCAGGTAATGCATGAGCCCTGAGCCCCTTCTGGGCTCCCCCTCCCCCGCCCCACTCCCTATTCAACCTGAGGAATATTTGTAATTTGCTTGGGACTCACAAAGGCTCATCAAGACAGACAGGCAGCATGGTATCTCTCCTTTCACAAAAACGTCTCCCTGCTCTCTGAGAGTCAGAGGAGTCAAGGCTACAGAAGAAAATGCCCATGTCCTTGGATGATGCTATGGCGATTTTTAAACATATTCTTGGCTCGTGAGACTTATCTCGACATGTGTTCTGAGGGCTTCCTTGTTGCCCAAGAAAGTTATGTTAATGCTGGTGTGTGGGGAGAGATGGAGGGTCAGGAGTTGAGCTGGACGAAGCCTGGCTAACCTGAGTTTGGCTAAGATGAGCGGTGGTGCCCAATGTGGGTGCTGCAGGAATGTGTTTGAGTGGGGGACCAGGGCGGACCTGAGGCCTCTGGATGGGCGTGCAGAGTCCCTGGGCTCTGTCTCTGCCCAGAGCTTTTTTAGCTGGTGACTGTAGCAATGTTCAGAGCAGCAATAACCAGAAGCTTCCATCAGGGTTAGAAGAACCAGAAGAGCAAAGTCACTTGCTCTTTTTGAGGACTTCCAGGTAGGAAGATAGGCCAGCTGTCATTGGGAAACAAAAAGCTAAAAAGCACTATGAACTTGGCCAGATCTTGCTCCTTCTCTGATCTTCACATAAAGACAAATGAGCACCCAACCGAGGTGTGAGGTCCGCGCAGGAGGGCAGTGTGTTCCCTATGCTTGAAGGCCTGGGGTCAAGAATGTACATCAGAGGTGATAATGCAGGCGAATCCTCTTCGGACAGGTTGTACACTGTGAACAGCACGTTACGGATTTGCACTTGAGTTCTGACTTCTGGCAAAGCATATTTTTATTTTCTAGAGAAGAGCTGTCAGAGATTCTAGCTCTGTGTGTGTATGTGTGTGTGTGTGTGTATGTGGAGAGAGAGAGAGAGAGAGAGAGAGAGAGAGAGTGCAAGTGAGCATGCCTGACTCCACAGGCTCCACACAGCCCCAGGAAGGTGAGGAAGGCAGTAACAGATAAGGAGGATGGATAAGATGCTCATGGGAGGCTGGGATGACCTGTACTGTAAGAATAGAATGTAAGGCCCTGTGATGAAGCTAATTTACCCAGCAAAGTAATATTGTCTAACTTGAGAAATGAATGTCCTGAAAAGAAGGCATGCCAGGGAAGGAGAATGAATATAAAATGAGTATAATATATTATTAAAAAGAAAGAGAAAAGGAAGGAAGGAAGAAAGAAAGAAAGAAAGGAAGGGAGGGAGGGAGGAAGGAAGGAAGAGAAGACCTGTGATGTGCAGGTTTTGATGTCTGTGAGGGAGAGTACCAACACCAACCCCTGTGAACCCATAACAATGCGTGGATCCAAGCAAAATCTTGGAAATCCTGAAATGTGAAGAAATGTGAATGGTTTATTTTCTATACTTTATAATCTATTCAATTGGCAACTCCAACATAAAACTAAGTATTGGTTTGTTACAGTGTTAACAGCATAAAGTATTGCTCAAGTCAGTGTTAGGGTAGCAGACTGCCAGAGTTACCCAGGACCACCTAGAATCCTGGGACTTGAGACTTTTGCCCAGTGAAACAAAGTAAAAGTCACAGACAAACTAGAGATGGTTGGTGTAGGTCTTTCCTAACTATGGCTCCAGAGTAGGACATTATACATTGTGATCTGAGAAAGGAGAATGTAGAGAAAAAGGAAAGCTGATGTCTGGAGACAGTAGAATGAAGCTTTCTTCCCGCCCTATTCTCTGTGGGCCTAGGATTGCTGGAGGCGAGGGATGGCTGGGGGAGGGGAAGGGGGAGGACGGTGGTGTCATCTCTGCCATCTGCTCAGCCTCAGCCCTTGGCACCGAGGCTCCGCTTCATAGTGAACTTGCTCACCTGCCTTGACTGAGCAGTACTTCAGCTTCTCATACTGATTTCTGTTCTCTTCCAGCCAGAGTCAGACCACCAAAAAAATCAAAAGGTAAATGACGCCATTACAACTCATCTTCTAGAACTCTTCATACACAGACTAGGTATTTTTGGTGGGCTCCAGGTGGACAAAGGTTGCAGTGTGGAGACAATTCTTGATGAAAAGAACACAGCATTTCTGTACCTGGGAACCTATGCCAGTCTTGCAATCACTATTTTCCCAACAACATGCAGGATGCTGTCCTCTTGCAGCTGCCCAGCTGCTTAGCTTCCAAGGTAGGGAGAGGAGACATCTCTGTACAGAGCAGGTGCCAAGGGGAGACGGAGCCTCCTCCTGGATCCCAGAGACTGGAGGGCTGAGGGAAGCACAATCAATCAGGTCA